GCAGTTGTGGATGTGATGTCCGAATTTTTTGTTGGTGGAATGACGATAATGCTTTGAATCGACTTTAAACGTTTGCTCACGAAGCAGGTAAATCTTAGTTCAACCCCATTCACCAGTTATTGTCATCGAGGCTGTTTTCAAAGACACCATAGGACTCACGATGAATAAAGTTTAGCTCCTTTGGAAGGAACACATGCATTGCTAAATTTCCAGAAGTTAATGGCGCTTAATTTTTCTTGTAGTAGTAATGATAGGCAGAAAAAATGGTGTTGTTGAGGGCATTTATGAGCGCAGTGTTCTCTTAAAGTATACCGTTATAATGAAATTCAGTCGTGTCCGTCTTCTCCATCAGTAAGTGGTCTACGGTCAATAAGGCTAAGACAAAATAAAAATTTTTTATCCAAGAATGTTTTTTTCAGATGTATCTGAATTATTGTAGGCATGGAGTGTTTGAATAAGAGGGGATCCATTGGGAAGACGTTTGAACAGGCTTAAGGGGTGGTTGGGGATGGACAAATGAACTGACCCATGAGTGAGAGGCCGAGTCCAGCGAATGGACAGCTGAATGTCCAAGCGGTCGAATTAGTGATGACTAGACGAACCTTGAAATGGTTGATTATGGTTTGATGGATCCTGGGTGAGTCATCAAGACATTAACTATTAGATGGGTGGAGGATTAATAAGAATTTAATTAAAGCTATGAAACTTTGTAAGTGTAAAAATATTATATTCTTTAAAAAGCAAATTTATCCCCTTCAAATGTATTTGTCTTTTTATTTTCAGTCGGAAAAGTATTTCTTTACTTTCGCTCCCGGGTGCGGAGAACTCCAAACTTCCGGTCCTCCGACGCAAGCATAACCTGCAACATTTGCGACGGTCACATCCGTGTACCTCTCATCAAATGGAACATGCCATTTCCACACCCAACCTCCGTCTTACCGGCCTGGGCTCAAGTTTTTCTCCATGGAAGGCAGCGGGAACAGACGCAGTTATGGTCGAACGCTGTTCACGTTGCGGTCTGCCCGATCTTTCGGCCATCACGACAACCATTAATACCACCTCTTCCCTGGTGACCTCCGTCTCGCTTCCCTCTCTCACCTCTCTTGATCCCACTACTGGTACTGCTGCCATGTTGGACGGTTCTTCACTGTCGGATTCTGCTGGAGTACCACTTGGTGGCAGTCGTGTCAGTAGCCGACCCACTATGCGACGCCTCAAACAACAGCATCGACACAGAGCTCTCTTTACTCGTAAGCATAATTTTAGGTGGGTATTTTACTTGTTCATTGCAACACACCTTTTTCGCTTTGGTGAGGACGCTTCTGTCCTATTTTACTTTCTAAGGTTTCAAACCCCAGATTTGGCCATACGGTAACCAGTCAATCCCTTAATGTGACCTTTCATTGAAATGCCGGTACACAGGGCTGCCGTATTCCCCACCCAAAGTTGAGTGGGGTACGGCTATGCCTTCCACAGGAGAGTAGCTATGATGTGCTGACCAAGCTTGCCACCTTTTTTCGCTCGTTTATGTAGTCCACCTCGGATGTGCATTATTTACCATTCTCTGCTTGGTTTTTGTGTTTGCGATTGTTAGAGTACAGTCGTGAATTCAGTTGTACTCTTATAGAGCAACAACGTGCATATATTTTTGCCCTTTTATATCATTTTAGAAAAAATCAAGCCTTATCGACGCACATCTACACCGAGGAGTAAGTTTTTTGTCACCTTTAAATATGATGGCTTTACCTATCTTAGCATGAGTAAACTTGTTTGGGCAGTTTTATGACAAATGGGGAATATTATTTGTGGAATCGAGAAGTTTTGGGCCCAGTTTTCCGTCATTCTTCTCCATTCGTCCTCCCTCTTTGTGTCCTCTCGTCAACACATCTCTCCCCTTCTCGATGGAAACATTTCTTTGATCCATCTCGTACCGTATCTACCTCCGCCATCATTAGTCAAATCGCCATCTGTTGGTCATGCAACATTCATTTGCTGTGTATATTCAACAAACTTGCAAATAACTTTTTTTTTGCAATTTTTAACACGCGGATACACCTTTTTCTATTAGTTCGTGCCCTTTAGACATCCTTTTGGGAGTTCTTTAACAATGCTCCAGGATCGGTTAATTAGGTGGGTCGGAGCAAGAGATCTGAGGGGTATTTGGCATCTATGGCGTATTTTTGTTTACAGTTATTCACTTTTGATGCGGGGAGAAATGTATTGTTGAGAGCCAGTAATTCGAATGCTACCACTCCACACTTTGTAGATTGAAAGCTGTTTTTTGCTCAAATTCGGGTTGTACTATGGTTAGTTGACTTTTCCACGCGTTTGTTCGAGCAGTTCCGGTCATCATCCACTTGACTCCTCTTGATAGTCTTTTTAAGGGAATAGCATTATTTCACAATTACTTCTTATCCACTCAACCTCGTTATTTACTCCTTCTTTTCATCTCAACTCCTGACTTACAGTGCTCGCTCTCTGCGAGTTACTTTGCCATATATCTGTTTTTGGAGGAAAAAATAAGGAACAGTTGGCAGCACTGTAGGGTAACTACACAGACATGGATTTAGCATCACGTATATTGTGTAATCCTCATCCCCCACGTACTAATCCTACCGCTATGCAATATTTTACTGGTAGAGCGGTTTTTGCCGACTTCAGCCTTGATCACGATCCGGTGGTATTGAGCACCAACGGAAAGGTGTTGTTATTATGTCTATTCCTATTGTATCAGCGTCTTACCTTTTTGGCGTATTGTTGCTTGGTGACGGCGTCACTCTTCTGTTCATACATGTACACACACACACACACACACACACACATCCTTCAGTTGCTTAATTTGTGCATTAAGTGTTCACACCGCATGACCCAAAGTGGGGCTGTTCTGAATGGTTTATGCATCTGATAACAGAGAAGGTGATTACAATGCCTCTCTCGAGCCTCTGCCGCTACTCTGGTCAGAAGTTATTCACAAATGCGATAGTAAATGCCTTTTTGAAGTAATTTTAATTTAGAAGGTCTACCAAATAACATACTTATGGGTGTCTTCTTGTTCAAGTACTAAAATGCTTCATTTTTATGGTACAAAGAATGATAATCACTGAATTGGATTGCAAGAAGGCTTTGTTTGTTTTCCACCTTCACACCTCCCCCTCCCCCTCCCCCCTTTGTGGGTATTGAGTGCAAAAAAACCTTGTCAGTCTTATGTAACTGATGTCATGCTTTTTCCATAAAACTTCCCCTTTTTAGAGGAACTTGAAGATGGTACCATTTTGAAGCTGCAGTAAATTCCCATCAATAATCACTATGAGCCCTGTAGCCGTTGGCATGCGTGTTACACAATTGCGGTTAACTGCTCATTTACTCTGGGGTATGCTTCTGGATGCATGATTTGCCCTCAGCACTTGTCATGAACTTGCTTGTGGCTTGAACATATCGATGCATGGATCATTGCAATGTTTGTATGCTAACTTTGTTGGAATCTCATATGATAGGCAGAACTATTTGACAATCACTGTTACAGCTGTGGCATTGCTTTCGGCTGACTCTCACCGGATAGGTCTCCTAGCAGTCTGTTTTTATTACGGTTGTTTTACTTGGCACAATGGCACGAAATGTATGGGATTTAGTATAGAGGAGAGGAGCAAGGAAGCTCATTCCTGTCTGAGGTGGACTGAACTTCCATCTATGATTTGCAAGGTACATTTTAAGCAACTCATTTGTATTGCGACTGTTTGATCTTTGAAGTTGTCCTCACACTCCCTCTAGGGGGGCTATTCAAAGCCGAAGGCGCGTCATGACGGGAGGGTTTACCACTCCCAAGATTGGATGTAATTCGTCTATTATCGCCTTGATCGTGTGGACTGCATCAGGGGCATATTTTGGACGTCGCTATCCAAGTTCTGTTAATTCATTATTTTTTCCCTTTTAAAAACCAGTTATCCTTTCTGGTTTCAATCGTTCGACACGGTATCACAATGTCCAATCCAAATTCGTTGATGCCTCCACTGTTCAAGCATTTATCTGCCATGTGCTCGTTCATCCATCCATCTACCTATCCATTCATGCATCCAGATCAAATTTTATGCGATATCAAAAGACATTAAATGCATTCCTTAATGCTAATTTGATTTTCTGTCATTCTTCTCTCCTCTCTGTAACAGTTTAGTGAACTTCAGTTCACTCTCCGACCTTCTTATCCATTCCTGTCATTGCAATAAGACTGATCCCCCAACTCGAAGTCATCGAAAAATACACAGCGCATCCCCAGAGCTATCCACCGCCACCACTTCATGCATCACCGACTTCAACAGATCCCGTCGTGAGGCCTCGAATCCCTCCATACTGCCATCGCTTTCTGAGGACCTTCGAGATCATGAGATTGACACAGGCGTAGATGATGCATCGCTACGTCACGAAGGCTTATACGAGACATTGCGCAGGTCTCGAGTTACCACTTCGACAACTCTATCTTCTCTGCAACCAGTAGATAAACGGGAGAGGGCAAATAAGGAAATCGAAGCTCTCGACACCACCGATGGTCCAAACACTATGGCTCAATGGGTTGTGCGAAATCCAGACAAGGGAATCGCATTGGTGCAAAATAAAATCACGGTAAGAACAATGACAATATTTTTTTTTCCCCATCTAAAGTGCTGGTGTTATCGTGTTTGCTGCATTTATTGAAAAACAAAACCTCTGACAATACCGCAACACGAAGAGGTGCTTCTTTGAAGTAATAGCCTGCCAACAGTAGCCAATTCAAGTTGTGACTTTGGGCTTTATGAGGAAAAATGAGAGAACTGCATTCATTGTTGGGTGATTCACTGGTTCTCACCATTAAATTTGCAAGTTCATTCCAGGGTTCAAGTAGTGCTTAGGAACTGTCTGCATTTATTTTCTAATACCCTTAAACCGGTGTACTTGTCAGTTTTTCAATCCTTTACAAGTGACATGGGCTAGAGCATCTGCACAACAAGTAGTTATGCATTGTTTAGGTGTGTAAGGTTAGACAAGCCTCTTATCCACTGAATTATTGCTTTGCTATGATTGACATCGATGATGGTAGAGATATTTTGGGTAGTCTTTGAAGTTGAGTGTTTGTTGCCGTAATGTCGTTCCATACTTGAAGTTCACCTTAAAGGCAGGCAATATCGACGGGCTTATTACCCACTCAATGGCATTGTTGCTCCCCGTCTTGACTGGGTGCCTAGTCCAAATTGGTCCTCAACGTGGGCACAAGTTGTTACTATTAGTGATGTCGTATAGTTGTCACTTACCTCTGGTCTTAATACTGCCGGACGGCTGCGAATGCCTTCTCTTCCTCATTTCCACGGATTTAAGATAACCCTTAAGGGCGTGGGACTACCTCCTGCCTTTATGCTTAGTAGAACGAAAAGTTTTCATTAATTAGCATAACTAGCGGTAGTTGTGGATCTCACGTATGGGTTATCATTGTCGATGTTGTCTATATAGATGACTTTTTTGCATGCTTTTCGGTACCATAAATATTGCAAATGAACAGGTCTGGTGTGAGGATGAAAGGGAATTTGATCTACCACGCATGCTTTTTATTATCCACAATGCAACTCCTTTCTTCCAATTCCACGCTTACGGCACGCCCCATCTTCACTTCCGGACCAATGGAACACAGGCGTTTCCGGTTTTATGGTTGTTGTATCACTTCTCAACTGCCTACTGCTCTTCCTTGTTTTCCTTCTCAAGTGGTCAGTACGAAGTATCCTCTCGCCCAACAGTTACACAATTGAGTAACAAAATTACTGTTTTTGGGCTCTACAAGGCATAACTTTGGTAATTCAACAGCCGTGGTTGCTTATTCCTTGGAAGAGGTAGTTGTTGTCTCCCAGTTTTGAGGAAAAATCAGCTCACTGACTGGTTGCTGCTTACTTGGGCATTCGCGTAATTTTCCTGCTAAATTACATGAACAGTGTGTTTGCTTTATTTTGTTTGTTTTTTTCAAATTTTTCGTACTAACTTGAGGTGTCTTCTAACAGACCAAAAGAGAAAGCAATTAAAAAGTATCAAAACTTGGCGATAATTGACATTTGATACACCATTTTTCAAACCTACAGAAAGATCAAAGGATAGGTAACTTGTAGGCGTAAGAACCGCAAAAATCTACTGTATAATCCTAAAACTGAGTTCTTTTTGACGCCTCGGACCAGGTTTATTTCGCTTTCGTCTTGCTCCATCTCGGGGCGGTCCACGCAGCTGGCAGGTTTGTCAACTGGTTAAACCTGTAGCACTTTTACTCCGAATACTTCGTGGTATGCGTTGCTTAACTTTTAACTCCTCTCCCTAATCATCGACAGCCTCTTTCGCTCAGAAACAAACAGACTATTCTCGAGTACTCGCGTTTTAATCTTTGCTGTAGTGTCTAGTTGTCTATACATGATGGTAATTTCAAACTTAGCTTGCAGTACTGTGAAACGTCTACCCTTCCGTACTCAAAGAAAGGCTCAGTTTGTGGGCAGTTGGAAAATCCAATCGGCCAGCGAAGTGAACCTTTTTGTTGTACCTTGTAAATGCCATTCTCCAGGTCACCCTATTCCTCACTCAGCTCCTCATTTTCGTCCGATGTTTTTATCAAGAGTTACATGTAAATTCCGTGATTAAATCCATCTAACTGTGCGTATTACTTCCAACGAAACTAGTCGCTAGGTCCTGGTTACACTGTTGTGCCGACACTAGTGCTTATAACTTCAATGCTCTCCATCCATCCATCCATCCATCAGCAAGAACTGGTTCAATGGGTGTTAATCCACCCAGATGACGGCCTTGCTCTGATTCGTCTCCTACAGGAGAACGGGGAAGAGGTCGAGGTTGAGGATGTGAGTCGACTATTAAGGTCTTGTCTAACCTCAGCACTAACATTTATATAATGCTACACATAAGAATTTTTATCACCTCTTTTTTTTCCTCTATCCCTCTTACCACTTTGTCCTTCTTAATTTTGAAGCTACTCAAAAGTGAGTCGCTTCGCCCTCCAGGACCGCAAAGGGTTTGGTCACTTGGTCGTGTCACTGCTTGGCATTCTGCTCTGTCGCCATTTCAGGTGAAGGGTATCGAAGCAAAATAATCATTCACTTCTAACTGGTAGAGATGACTACTTGGCGTGGGTCGTTGCTAACCGCTAATTGCTTCAAGGAGGCATTTCGCTTTGTTTAGATTAAGGTATTGAGATTGCAATAACTGTTTCCAATGAAGGTGACAAAACTCACAACCCTGGGTTCTGCTCCAAATTACACCTTGTCAAGGCTTATAATCACGACTTGATGTTCCTTTTTTTTTTCCTGTTCACCTTCTTAGCGTCGTTCTCTCTCACAAAATTTCATCACAACTGTTGGAGATGAGGAGAAGGACCTGTCGAAACGTCAGTCCACGGAGCAGAGTCGATCTGCAACCTCTGCCAATTCTACTGAGTGTCTGACAAAGGCTGTCACACCATCAACATCGTTTATGGGAGGAGATCGTCTGATGAATGCCTTTGCACCCGGTACAATGGCATTTGTGATGCTGAAGGAGGATTTGAAACAACACGTTCTCTTGTCATCCACTTTCAAAGGCCATATCTACTCCGATTTTTCCCAACTACCTGTCCCCCTTCCCTACTTCTCCAATCCCACGGTGAGATCTTCCAGCGTTCACCTCGTCATCTGTGTGCATGGTCTTGAAGGTGAGTCTTTGGGGTAGGAGATGTCTGTTCATCAGTTCTAAACCCGTCCATTCATATCCACTGATATATCCATCTACTCGTTTGTTCGTCCTTCCTGAAGCCTTCCTGAATCGCTTAACTCATCTCAATTGTATCAATGACTTCACTGACATTCTATTATCCACGCCTTGCATCTGTTCTCCCCTCTACTAGGCCATTTGACTGTGTTTTAGGCTTTCTTCTTTGGCTTGTTTTGCTTTTCCAGTCATCTTCATCTATTTGATTGTGCATTGTGTTCCCTCATTCATTCTTTTTTGGATTCCATCTACACATTTTTTGGTGACCTTCTTTTCCTTCCAACCAATCTCCTCTTTCGTTCCATTGGCAAGAACCTCACTGCTTCTACTGCCGACTGGACTAGTCGTTTATTGCTGCAAATGCTCCATGATGACAGTGAGGAACTTGGATTCTGCAGAAATGTCAGTGCAGTCTTGATTCTAAGATCAGATGTGAAGCTACTGTATCAGTTGAAATTCTCGTTTCCCAAGAGTGTTATAAGGTGTAGCGAAGCAAGTACTACACAGCGTGTGAATTTTGGTACAAGATAGACCTGTTTGACATAATTCAACGAACCATTTCTACACTCCACCTAAATGATAATGGGCCAGGCTTAGGCTAAACCTAGCCGGCTTGATTAACAATTCACTTCCATGCTGAAAGCAACAATCAAGTCTTTTATGTCTGTCAGTAGAAAGGTGTCTGTGCTACGGATTTCGTGAAACATTTGAAAGGCTTTGTTAGGATCTGCCGTGAGAATGGCGAATCACGACTCAGTACTCCTTTTCCAGACTGATGAGTCATTGCTAACTGGACGGGAAGGTTGGCCGTGCATCAGACACCTCTATTTGTGGTTTGTGTGGCGTCGCCTCTCTCGTCCCTCCTGACCGAATGGAAAGGGAATTGTTTGTGTTGTTTCCTTTCCAAAAACAGCAAATATGTAGGTCACGAATTACAACTCCCTCTGATCATATTTAAGCCAAAGGCGAATCCTAACCTGTATTTGGCAAAGTGGTTGAGCAAATGGTTAGTTACATTATTTGACTTTGATTGCATTTTCTACCAGATTCGGTGAACGAGCGTTAAGGAGGGCTGAAAGGCGTCTGCTGAAGGGGTGTTAGTTGTTGGTAGTATTGTGAATTCAAAAGCAACTCTGTATGACCGATCTGAAGTTGAAACTGCTGGACGGCTAGTCGACCTTCACAATGATTGTTCAACAGTTTCATTTTCTTATGCTTGTGGTGGCAGTGTCGAAGGCGGTGTCCACTTCACTCTAAATGCCTTTAATTGGACATCGCAACTACCACATCATTGGTGGTAGTGCTGTTACCTGCCACCTTGTTTTGATGAACAAGAGAAGGAAATTGGACTGGGCTTGAGGTTATGTGCTCCAGGGACGCAGAAAGTATTGCCTAATAAAGTTTTACGAGGAAAGAGAATTTGGGTAAGGGGGAACACTCGCAGAAGGTGTTCTTCCTCTTCTGGCATGGAAACAAAAACGACTCACATTTGCGTTTGCATCGCAAGAGGAAATGGAGAGGCTTTTTTTTTTTGCTTGGTCTCATATTTTCTTCCAACTTTTCCACCCAATCGAAGAGATTTTGAAACAAGAAAGAGAAGAATCTTTTAATAATGAATATAAACAGTCGAATTTTATGTTGGTTTTGCATTTTCCCTTCTAATCAAAATGCTGGTGATATCTACAGTCTGAGGCGTGGATTCCAAAGTTGCCTTTTTGACAATTAAACACTCTGATTTATGACTCAAGTGGCACTTGCAGTGAGACACGCCTCACTGCCATAAGGTCAAGGGCTAGAATGACAACCTTCCAAGGCCTCTAGCAGTCCGACCGCCTGGTATGTAACTAAACACGGCTTGTCAACACTTCAGTGGGTTATCTGAATTGGCTGAGGGCTTAACAGTGGTTGTGTTCAAGACCACGAACCCATTCGAAACTACTTTATTCCCTTTACAAGTCGTCGGTCTTCCTTCCACTAGACATCCCTGGCGTTTGAGTACTCGGGGCTTAGAGGACTGTGTCTTTGCCTCGGTGATGTTTTCGTCACCTCATTATTATCTGTTTCACACGTGATTGTCTGACGTTAGTGCCATCACACAGATAGGCACTACCTCCCACTCGTTTGTTTTTTTTTTTTAATCTGTGCTTTGCATTGTAGTCAGGTGGGTCGTTCTTGAGCATGAAGGACTGCGTCTCCAGTTCCCCTCACTCACCCACATTTAGAAAAACAAGCACACCACTCACCTCTGACACTGAATGAAAATTAATTTGCTCACCTTTTTTTAAATCTTTGTGACCACAATGAGAGTTGGATTTTGCAAATTGTTGGTACACTCTAAACTCCTTCTCAATCGCCTCCAAGTGCCTGTGCCAAAATTACCCTTTAAACCATTTCATGATGATACGCTTTACCATTTCCAACTCCACTAAATGTCATGTAATGCACTTTACGAGACCTCTTAGTGATTTTGGAGCCGAATTGGTAATAAATCAAATTGTTGCAATAAGTGATTATGAGGCATACTTAGCTGTGCATGAATGTTTCACTTTTTTTTTTAAGTGAACAAAAATTCGTACCATTTTGGCCCAAATTGTTTGTTGGGAAAGAAGAGTGTAAGTTATAGCCTTTTTGAATGAATGTAAATAGTTTAGTGGTAATTGTGGCGGAAGGAGTGACATTCTCACTTCCCTCTCCTTCCCGTCTTAAATTGGGGCATGCGAGGGGATTGAGGGGGGAAAATGCGAAGGCGTTTCATGTGAAGGCGCATAAATTTGTATTCGCCTCCAAGTATGCATCACTTTTGCTTATAACTTTGCAACATTTATCACACAATCAACAATTTGGTGGTAGCAATAAATCTTGTATGCTCGATAGAGGCTGACATTGTGATGGCCAGTCACGTCACCCATCACCAAGGTGGGTTGTCATTGTCAGGTCTTGAAATTGAGGCTGTTGTCTAGTCTTTGATTGATTTGTCAAGGCAGTAGAACACATTTGGAGACAGACTAATACAGACACCACGAAATTCTCCTTATAGACTCCTTAGAATTTACCCTTCTGGAAAAACTATCACGGTAGTACAGATTTTATATTGTCTCTTTTTTTGATAGGGAATTGTTTGGATTTGCGATTGCTGACAATGTACCTACAGCTGGCGCTACCCGATCATCCACTGGAGTTTCTTATGTCCGACAGCAATCGTGAGGATACTTTTGGATCGTTGGAACAACTCCGAGACAACTTGGTTGAGGAGATTCTTGAGCACATTCAGTCGATGTCGGAAAAACCCACTCATATCAGGTGTGTCTATGACTCGTTTTTTTGTACTTTTTATAAAGAGTATTGTTAAGGGATCAAGTGCTTGCCGAGTTGTGTATTTATGAGGAGTAACAACCTGCGTTTAACCATTGGTCTCAACAACGGATCTTTATAGTTGATTAAGTAGGTTATGCATAAATCTACCGACCTCCTCTACTCTGATGTTGAGCAAATCAACTTCCTCACTTTATGCATCAAACTTATGAAAGTTGAAACATAAAGTCATGGCTTTTCATTACTGCTGATATTAATTTTGCATGCCTTAATAATATGTCAAAACTTTTACTGGAAAATCATTCATTTCACATTCACTCCTCCCCTCCACACCACACTGTCCAGTCAATAGGTCATGCAGAGATAGGCTTGCGTGCGGTAGACCCGCCTCACTCACAACGCTGTCTTTGCAAGAAGGGAAGGAGGCAATAGACATGCAGTGGCTGTGAACTGGCATTAAAGGATGCGGACAATGATGAAATATGCAAACAGTTGCCGATGATGCATCTCCACGCCTCCATGCATTGTTCTCAATGCTATGCTGTTATGCTGTGCTATCCTATTCAATGCTATGCAGGGTACGACAAGAGGAGACAACGCAAAACGCGACAAGATAAGATAAGGCGAGGTGAGGTGAGGTGAGATGGGATGAACGTTTTGTGGAATGAATTTGTATCAGCCTTCCAAATTGGGAAGGAAATGAACTCAACACCGTCTACATGCAGTTGCATTAGAGGTGACTCGCTCACGTGGTTGGTGGTGCAAGCTGTGATTTGATGGAGGGTTGGGAGAGGAGGAAGTGGTGGGTTGATGATATGGAAGGAGGTGGTGGATAAATGCATGTGGAGCAAGAACTGACGCCCTCCCAATGCGACAGTCACGAAGTT